ACCAGCTCCGACACAGGGTCCTGCCCGGTCTCCGGCACTGTCCCGTCAGCGCCTTCCTGCCCGGCCTCCGGAGCTCTCTGGTCTTCGCCCTCGAGCCCGGCCCCCTGACTCTTCCGGCCGCGGTCCTGGCCCTCATGCTCGGCCCCCTGACTTTTCCGGCCGCAGTCCTCGCCCTCATGCTCGGCCCCCTGAGTTCGCCCGCGGTGGCCTTCGCCCCTCCATAACCCCCATTTTGGACTCTGCCTTGCCCCCGGGCCGTCCGCCCGAGACCTCTTCCTGGTCCTCTGCCTTGCCCCCGGGCCGTCCGCCCGAGACCCCTTCCTGGTCCTCTGCCTTACCCCCGGGCCGTCCGCCCGAGACCCCTTCCTGGTCCTCTGCCTTGCCCCCGGGCCGTCCGCCCGAGACCCCTTCCTGGTCCTCTGCCTTGCTCCCGGGCCGTCCGCCCGAGACCCCTTCCTGGTCCTCTGCCGTGCCCCTGGGCTGTCAGCCCAAGCCCGTCCTCCAGACCCCCTCCACCCACCCTGGTGGCTTAGTGATGCTCTGAGGAAAGATCAGGCTGAATTCACAATGGGCATTAATGGAGACACGTTGAACGTTTTTGTCACTTTATGCCCTCAAGAGGCATTTTGTTTAATAATTGTGCTTGATTATGTTTTATGTTTCAATGTAGGAGAGGTTTTCCAACGTTTTTCATGAAAAATTATGTCCAAGGAGTGTAGGGTTTGGGAGTTATGGCAGGTTGAAGAAAAAATGAAAGGCGAATTTCAAGCTCTGCTCCACTCTAGCTGTGACCAGGGCCGTATCCAGGATTTCCTAAATACCGAGGTCCAAACATGCTAAGGGGGTTCGGGGGATACCCCCCGAGATTTTTGGGATTTTCATGATCTAGTTAGGTGCTTTTTCAGTTCTGTGGGGGGTCACACATTGGATAATATATTGATTTCAAACCATGTCAGTGGGCTGACAATGTCAGCATCAATTATTTTGAAAGTGTAATGCATAAGAATCAGTTGATTGTTACTATTAATGATCTGGACATGCAGAAGAGGCTAAAATGATCACAACTCATTGTCAACATTCATTTTCCATGTCCCTCTCCTTTCCATAACCTGCAGCCTCTCTTCCATCATCTTTAGTCTCTCTGTCTTCTTCCTGTTCTTTACTCTCTCTGTCCTCTACTCTTTCTCTTTGTTCAATCTCTCCCTCGTTGTTCACTGTTTGCTCCTCCTCACTTGTCGCTCCTGCCAGTGAATTAAAAGCAATTCAGCCATTTAGTTCATTTAACTTGTTTGTTTGCATTCTTTTTTTATTTAAATCTGTTTTGTTTGATTCTCAAAAGAGAACAAAGATGTAAGCAAATGGTGTTTTATACAATTGTATGTTATTATGACATCATAACTGCAATATATGTATGTTTTAAAATTATGCCTATTGTAAATGAAGACTATTGTTATAGATACATAGATAGATAAATAGATGGGCTTATTAAGCCTACATTATTTTGTGTGACTCCAGTTCCTCCCTGACTTCCATCACTTTCTCTCTCTCTATTTCTCTCTGCCACTCCTGTCTCTTCCTTACCAAAGCTGAGCTTCGACTGACGTAGTCTTTTCATTATATCTGAGTCAGTGTAAAAAGAAAACAATACAATGTTATATCTTCAATGTTTTACTCAAATTGAAATGAAAGAAAAGCATTACAACGTTAGTTAAAAGGTAATCCTTCTGACATTGGATGAACGTAATTAACTGTAGCTCTCTAGCTAGTTTATTCACGCAATTTAAACCAAAGTATAGCCTATAGCTGCAATATCAGTTAGTGTGCATGTTGTCGGACGTCCACTGACTAACGTACAGCGTTCACACAGGATCTGCTGGTCATATGATGTCCTGTTGAGCAGAAACACAAGTAGCCCGCTGGACTCAGATCTCTAGATACTTCATCACTCCTTCGCTGCTCCGGTACAAGTCCGGGCTGCGGTGGTTTGTTGATACATGTCGTCTTCTTCTGTTTGCTTTGATCGAGGCTACGTAGTTATGTAGTTATGTCAGTAAATGGAAGTACTACAAAGAACCCCGTTTAGTGCAATTATTTCACAAGTTTTGTTATACACAGCTTGGAAAATATTACCGAGGTCCGGACCTCGGTGACCTCAATGGTAGATACGGCCATGGCTGTGACATCACGCACTCTAGCCTTAACGAGCTGCGCAATACACACTAATGTTAAAATCTGAAGAAGGCCTCTTTACCAAGCTCCAAACTAAGTTAAATATCTCAGAAAGAGTCAAATATATCACAAATCTAAAGAACAAGTTTAATAGCTGCATGTCTTGTGGCCATTTTAAAAGTTGGAATGAAGTCTAGCTGAATGTATGTGGAAGGAGTAGCATTCGGCGCACGGTGTATGTCAAAGAGGATTTGAAGGTTCCTCCCATTGAGTTACATGTTAAAAAAGAGTTTAAAAAGCTGAATATTTCAAAAAGTATAAAATATTTTGAAAAAGTTTAAAGTTTCCCATCATGTGCTGAAAAGCCTGAATATTTTGATTTTGAATGGTTTCTGTAGCTGAAAGTAGGCTGAAGTTATTGAGAGCCAAACTTTTTGTTGAAATAATAATAATAAGAAGAAGAAAAAGGTGCGGAAGAATAAAGATTTGAAGAACTATAGTGGAATGCTGTTGCACAGAATTTGCATTAAATATGAACCTGAAAATGTGCATAAAAAGGACCTAAAAGCATGAATCTGTTAGTAAAATCACACGTTTTTGACATCTTCCCTGTATTCTGTCTAATCCATATTACTTCCAATTCATTTATATTTGTTCACAGTCATTTGTCATGTACTCTCCTCTTTTTGTTGCATATTTATAATTCTTGTTCAAATATTTCTCATATACAAGTGAATATCTGGGTTTGGACTGGCAATGTATCATTCAATTGAATATAATAAATGTCACTGTTTCCAGGTATTTTCTTCATTCCTCTTTATAACAATAAAAAAAAACAATATCACTGCTGCAGAGGGTGTTTCCGCACACAAGAGAACAAACATTTTGTAAGGGGGATTAAATATGACAACAGTCATTCAAAGCTTCATCAAAAGACCCTCAGAGGAAGCTTTGAATGTTGAAAAATATGTTTTTTAACTGCACAAAGAGCTGTGGTAAGCAAATTCTGGCTCCATCCCCGTACCAAAGACACATTCACACACACACACACACACACACACACACACACACACACACACACACACACACACACACACACACACGCACACACACACACACGCAACCACACACGCACACACACAGCCACACAGCCACACACACACACACAGCCACACACACACACACATGCAACCACACACACACACACACAGCCACACACACATACACACGCACACACGCAACCACACACGCACACACACACACACACAGCCACACACACACACACACACACACACGCAACCACACACTCGCACACACACACACACACACATACACTGTTTGGCCCAACATAATCCCAATTGTATCCATATGTTATAAAAACTGCCTGAACACACGACACACTGCAGTGATGTGACGGCTGCTGGTAGGTACCGTATGTGAGTGTGTGTGTGTGTGTGTGTGTGTGTGTGTGTGTGTGTGTATGTGTGTGTGTGTATATGTTTAGAGCTTTATGGAAATAAATACTTTTCAGATTAAGAAATGTTTTTTAGTAATTGGAAAAATGTATAATGTATGACTCAGTAGGAAATATCAGTAACACTTTATATTAAGGTACACATATTCACCATCAACTCGTTGTTAATTAACATGAATATTAGCAGTATATTGGCTCTTTATTAGTCATTATAAAACATGTATTAAGGCCTTATTCTACATGACCATATTCTACAAGTACTAGGCCATTAGTTAAGAGTTGCTGTCCTTAATAACCCTCTAATCGGTGCTTGTTTATTGTAAGTAAGGACGTAGTTTGAGTTTGGGTCTTAATATGCTCAATATGGGCCTAATAAGGCATTCTCTCATAACACTTAACCAATATGGTCTATTCTTATGTAACAAGACATGAAACTACAAGTATAACAAAAAATGTGGTATTTCTAACTCAGAATTCCCTATTTCAAAGTGAATTCTTGTTCATAATAAATAAGCTATAGTTTGACTCTAATATGTTGATTAACAACTAGTTGATGATGAATATGTGCACCTTAATCTAAAGTGTTACCGAAATACCTTTTGACGTTTTAAGTTCAAGAGACTTTATATGTGTAAACCATTTGTCTGTAATGGACATTTGATTGTGCACTTCACTGGCATTTGTAAACATAAAAAAAGGATGTGGCTGTGTGCACAAAAAACTCAACAAATATTTAAGTAAATATATGAATATTTTTAGAATAAGATGAGTACATTTTAAAGTAATAAGATTTAGAACAGTTTAAATAAGGACCAGTACTTCTCACATGATTTATTTGTTATGAAATGTCTTTGAGGAGCTTATAAGGCAATCACGTTTTGTATTATTATTGATATTATTAGTAGTAGTCTTAGTAGTATTATTAGAAGTAAGATTATAATTATTGTAATTAGTATAAGAAGTAGTAGTTGTACTATTATTATTTTCTTAGCACAATTGTTATTGGCATATTCTATAATGGGCATAAGAGATATCTTTAGAATAAGTTGAACAGATCTGGGACAGAGAATCACAAATTAATTGATCATGTGATTTTATTTCAGGCACAAAAAGAAAAGTATTATTATTATAATTATCTTGATATGTTAGTATTTTTGTTATTATTATTACAATTATTATTGTTATTACTAGTATTATTGTTGTTATATCTATTTATATTATTCATATTATTGTTATTTATATTTACATTATTACTTCTATTATTATTGTTAATCATATGTATTGCATTACTAGCAGTAGTAGTAACACTTAAATGTGAATAAATGCTGTTTTCAGGAAGGATTGTCTCGTTATAATCATGAACGTCTCGTCTCTGAACTCCACCTCTCCGGGTTCTCGGAGCTTCGCCGAGGCCGTTTACAAGAACGTGATCGTGACGGTTCTCTGCATCGCCATCAATTACATCAACGGCACCCTGATACACACTTTCAGGAAGCACCAGGTGTGTGTGTGTGTGTGTGTGTGTGTGTGTGTGTGTGTGTGTGTGTGTGTGTGTGTGTGTGTGTGTGTGTGTGTGTGTGTGTGTGTGTGTGTGTGTGTGTGTGTGTGTGTGTGTGTGTGTGTGTGTGTGTGTGTGTGTGTGTGTGTGTGTGTGTGTGTGTGTGTGTGTGGGGGGGGGGGGGGGATATCAAACATGCTGCCTTACAATCCCTCTTCTGTTCCTGATTCTAGCAACTCGTGTTTATTGTTTCATGTTTAAAAATGTATAATAATAGCAGGCTATCAGAATCAGAAACAGGTTTATTGCAGAGTAGGTTAACTGTTAACACACGAGCAATTTCCCGTGGTGTATTTGGTACATACAACGACACAGAAAAATAACATAAATTGTAAGAAAAGCAACCAAAAATTAAACAATTATACTTTTAGTTTTGAACTATTATAACATTCAAATATAAATACATATTAACATGAATTATAGATATTTCAAAAAACTATGTACAGTTAACGTGACTTAATAAGAACATAAACGAGCAGTATTGTTACGTAAAGTGGAGAGCTGTGCAGATATTGAAAGCGTTAGCTCTGTATACAAATGTGCAGGATAATGTTTAGACGCTGTTGTTTATATTGATCATAGTGTTCATTAATGTAATGCATGTGTCTATGGCGTGGCTGGTTGGTGGGGGGGTTATTGGAGGGTTATATATAAATATATATATGAGGAGATCAGGGCTGCAAAATCTGTCAGCTGCTTTAAGTCACTTTGAAAAAATCTCTTTTGCTTTTATGTGTTTCATTTAATTTATTCTTAATTTATGTATTTTTCTTTATTATTTTCTGTGTTTTACTCTGTTTTTTTATGTTTAGACTCTGCTGTCTAGGTCACTTGCTCTCTGTGTGTTTTTATATGAAAGCACTTTGTAACTATACTCTGAAAGCTGCTATATAAATAACATCACATTTAAGTGAAAATATTTGGGGTTTTGGTCTGACATTTGGACACACTGAACAACTGAAACGCTAACTTTAATTAAATGTATTATATCAACACATTTCTAACTCTAATAATTCTTAATTCTCTTATTTGAAAACTTAATATAATTGCACCTTTTCAGTGCACATTGCTCTGACACTTATTTCTTCTACCCTACTACTTTTAAATCCAGGCTGAAGACGTTTATAATCTCACACTGCACTGTAACTTGTATTCATGTACCTGTGTTATTCATGTTTTATTATCTTGCTTTTAAATAAGTGCCATTTTATAATGTGTTTCTGCTGAACTATTTCTCAATGCTCTTAATGTCTTTCAATGTTGTAAAGCACTATGAATTGCCTTGTGTTGAAAGGGGCTTTGCTTGTTATGAGCTGTATTTAAACTTAATATCATTGCACCTTTTCAGTGCCCCTTGCTCTGACACTTATTTCCTTTCCCCTGCAGATCTTTTACTCCAACCCGCGCTACATCCTCTTCATCCACCTGGTGATGAACGACATGCTGCAGCTGACTCTCTCCACGCTGCTGCACATCATCAGCTACACCCTGAACACCTTCAGCGTCTCCTCCTGCCTCCTCCTCCTCATCCTCGCCGTCATGGCCACCTTCAACACGCCTCTTAATCTGGCCGGCATGGCGGTGGAGTGCTACGTCGCTATCTGCCTCCCGCTGCACCACTGTAGGATCTGCACTGTGAGAAACACCTTCATCCTGATGAGTCTCATCTGGTTTGTCAGCTCTCTCTCCATCATGCCTGATTTCTTCCTCCTTCTGGCCACCGAGCCCCTCAGCTTCTTCACGTCCAAAGTGTTGTGCGCCAGAGACTTTGTGTTCAGGAGTTCGTACAGTTTGAAGAAGAGAGACGCGTCGCACATCGTGTGTCTAGTGCTGGTGTGGCTCACGCTGCTCTACACCTACTTCAGGATCCTGTTTGCAGCCAAAGGAGCAAAAGGGGATTCAAAGAAGGCCCGAAACACCATCTTGCTGCACGGTTTCCAGCTTCTGCTCTGCATGCTGACCTACGTTCGGCCCATGTTCGAAGAGGCGCTGCTTTTTTTACTGCCGCGAAGACACGCTGACATACGCTTCGCCTCGTACGTCTTCGTGCAGATTATCCCTCGCTTTGTGAGCCCCATTGTGTACGGACTGAGAGACCAGAACTTCAGGAAGTACATGAGGAGATACCTGCTGTGTCGAGTAATCATGAGGAAAAACCACCTGGAGAACAACGCCGTGTCGGACATGAAGCCTGCAGTCTCTTAGAAAACACATTTATACCAGGAGACAAAACCATAGTCTCACTTTTACTTTGTTTATTTGGTACGAATACTACATATAAAGTCAAATAAAGGCCTAAAGGTCAAGTATTTAGCTACATTTTCTCATTGAAGTAAACATATACCAAAATCAGTCCAATCCAAATGATCAAGCGTCTCTTAAAACGACCACAAATGAGTCGAAATCAGCCTACAAGGAATACACATATGACCACTTTCTGGTTCCAACTCCCATTTTTCACCCTGAAAATATCAGAAATGGATTCAGCACCTTCAATAACCCCCAAAACCACTGCATTCTGAGGATGTTACATTCATTGTTCTAGGAATGTTTTCAGCGGGAAGTTTTCTTTTGGTTCCCAGAACGTTCTTCTGAAAGGTAGGATAACGTTCTCTAAAAACATTCTTAAAATGTTTTTGATAACATTACTTTACATTTAGCTGACGCTTTTATCCAAAGCGACTTACAAGAAGTGCGTTCGACCAACAAAATACAAACTTGAAGAAAACAGAATCATATAAGTACATAAGGCTTCATAGAGCAAAAACATTTCAAGTGCTACTCAACTGGCTTTAGATAAGCCAGTCCTTTATTAGTATACAAGTGCTTTTTTAATAGTTCTATCGCTCGAAGTAGAGTCGAAAGAGATGAGTTTTCAGTCTGCGCCGGAAGGTGTGTAAGCTATCTGCTGTCCTGATGTCAATGGGGAGCTCATTCCACCATCTTGGAGCCAGGATAGCAAACCCACGTGTTTTTGCTGATGGGAACTTGGGCCCCCCTCGCAGTGAGGGTGCAGCGAGCTGTTTGGCTGATGCAGAGCGGAGTGCACGCGCTGGGGTGTACGGTTTAACCATGTCCTGGATGTAGGAAGGGCCAGATCCATTCGCAGCATGGTAAGCAAGTACCAGTGTCTTGAAGTGGATTCTAGCAGTTACCGGAAGCCAGTGAAGGGAGCGGAGGAGCGGAGTGGTGTGGGAGAATTTAGGAAGGTTGAAGACCAGACGAGCCGCTGCATTCTGGATGAGCTGCAGAGGTCGGATGGCACATGCAGGTAGACCAGCCAGGAGGGAGTTGCAGTAGTCTAGGCGTGAGATGACGAGAGTCTGGACGAGAGTCTGGACCAGAACCTGCGTCGCTTTCTGGGTCAGCTGGGGACGTATCCTCCTGATGTTGTAAAGCGTGTATCTGCAGCAACGGGTTGTAGCAGTGATGTTTGCAGTGAAGGACAGGTTGTTATCTAGGATCACACCCAGATTCCTTGCAGTCTGAGTCGGGGAAACAACAGAGGTGCCGATGTTGATTGTCAGGTCAAGAGTGGGACAATCTTTTCCCCGAAGGAAAAGCAGTTCAGTCTTGTCAAGGTTGAGCTTGAAGTGGTGAGCAGACATCCACTGAGAGATGTCAGCTAGACAAGCAGAGATGCGTGCGACGACCTGGGTCTCTGAGCGGGGAAAGGACAGAATTAATTGGGTGTCGTCAGCGTAGCAGTGGTATGAAAAACCATGCGGGCTAATGACTGATCCGAGCGAGTTTGTGTACAAGGAGAAGAGAAGGGGACCAAGAACAGAGCCCTGAGGGACCCCTGTAGTTAATTGACAAGGGTCGGACTCCGACCCTCTCCAAGTAACCCTGTAGGTACGGTCTTTCAGGTATGAGGTGAGGAGGGAAAGTGCAGAGCCTGAAACTCCAAGTTCTTGGAGAGTGCGAAGGAGGATCTGATGATTCACTGTGTCGAATGCAGCAGACAGGTCCAAAAGGATGATGACAGAGGAGAGGGAGGCTGCTTTAGCCGTGTGCAGTTCCTCAGTGATGAGAGCAGTTTCTGTGGAGTGACCTGCCTTGAAACCAGACTTGTGCGGATCCCGAAGGTTGTTCTGATTGAGATAACAGGAGAGTTGTTTAAAGACAGCGCGTTCAAGTGATTTAGACAGGAACGGGAGGAGAGAGACAGGCCTGTAGTTTATAACATCAGACGGGTTGAGAGTGGGTTTCTTTAGGAGAGGGTTTACTCTTGCCTCCTTGAGACTGTTTGGAAAGTGACCAGAAGTTAGAGAAGTGTTAATGAAATGGGTGAGAAACGGTAGAATATCAGGAGCGATAGTCTGAAGGAGGTTTGAAGGGATAGGGTCCAGAGGACAGGTGGTAGGGCGGGCAGAGGTAATGAGGGTAAGAACCTCACTTGGAGAGAGAGGGGAAAAGGAGGTTAGTGTGTGGGTGGAAGGAGGGTCTGGTGACCCAGCGGTGAGTAAAGGTGAGTCAGAAAAAGAAGAGCGAAAATCATCAACCTTTTTTTCAAAGTGGGTAACAAAGTCGCTTGACAGAAGGGAGGAGGGGGAAGGGGCTTTGGGGGGGTCCAGGAGGGAGGAGGGGGGAGGGGCTTTGGGAGGGTCCAAGTGGGTGGAGAAGATGGAAAATTGTTTTTTTGGGATTGGAATAGGAAGATTGGATCTTATCTTGAAAGAAAGTGCTTTTTGCCTGAGAGATCGAAGCAGAGAAAGAGGAGAGGAGAGCCTGATAGGTTAGGAGGTCGTCACGGTGTTTGGATTTCCACCGTTTCCGCTCTGCTGTCCGAAGGACGGTTCTATTAGCACGCAGTGCATCATTTAGCCAGGGAGCAGGAGGGGACTGACGAGCCTGCAGAGATGTGAGAGGACAGAGAGAGTCCAGAGAGGATGAGAGAGTAGAGAGGAGAGTTTCTGCAGCAGAGTTTGGAGGCAGGAGTTTGAACGAGTCAGAGGAAGGGAGGGCTGAGAGCACCGATGAGGCAAAGGTAGAGGGGGAGAGGGAGCGAAGGTTACGGAGGACAGGTGCAGGATGAGAAGAGATTAGTTTGTTATGTTTGGAAAGGGGTAGAGAATGAAAAGAAGAAGTGATCAGATGTGTGGAGCGGGTTTACAGAGAGGTTAGAAGTAGCGCAGTTCCTTGAGAATATGAGATCAAGGACATTGCCAGCTTTATGAGTCGGTGGGGACGGAGACAGTGAGAAAGCAAAGGCAAAAGAGATGTTAGTTCAGATGTCTTCCCTGTCTGGAGGTTGAAGTTTCCGAGAAGTACAGCGGGAGGGCCAGTTTCAGGGATGCGTGAGAGGAGATGATCTAATTCCTCCTGGTCTTGATTGTGTGGCAGGCCTTGGATTCCTCCTGGGAGGGACACACAAATGAGTTTGAGGCAAAAGCAGGCAAAGAATATGCTGGTAAAAAGCTAGAGCGGCCCGCAACAAACCGTGCACGGCAACACTCCGGCAGGGAATGAGTACAGGCTGCAAGCTTTCATAGTGTGGCTGATGAGCAGGTTGCAGGTGTGGTTGATTGGAGATTGCTCCCAGCCGTGTAGAGCAGACCAGCAGGCAGAGAGAGAGACACACAGTAGAAGCAAACACATACAAACACTAACAGGGGTTTCAGGGACGGGCAGTGACAGTCGGTCCGTTCTTCTATCTGTCGGTCTCAAATCTAAAGGGTGCAATAACGATTTGTATCCAATATGCATAAACAGCGGACACTGTTTATACGCAGCCCTCACAAACACGGCCAGATAGCTTATCCAACAGTTAGAACCCACATACGAGACACTACCTTTATAGTCAGAAAAAAGTGTGATTATTTTCTGATATTTTACACATATGATTATTATGAATACTGTGGGCCTGCATACCTTAGTGTGATTATAAGTGCATGTGAGTGAATATTGGTATGCATACATTCGTTTTTATACGTCCTATTCATCGTCTCAATGCGCTCATACATCTTAAGAAAGTTATCACCAAACATGTTAAGAATGTTTTTAGAGAACGTTATCCTACCTTTCAGAAGAACATTCTGGGAACCGAAATAAAACGTCCCGCTGAAAATATTCCTAGAACAACGAATGGTAACAAACATGTCTAGCTGGGAACTCACACACGCCACCGCAAACATGCGATATCTGCTTACAGCTTATCATGAATTATGTGCTTGTTTGTTTTTTGCAAAAGGAAATTATGGTGACATCAGATTTTTTTTAAAACATCCTTTTCAAACAAATGCAACAAGTTTGTTTTTTAAAGTGCTCTAGAAATAAATCTGACGTTGACCATGACCGTGTTAATATTTGCCATCACAGGAACGTTTTATAAAAAAAGAATAACCTCCTGAAAACATTTTCAGAATGTTTCTTGGAGAATGTTCTTCATTTGTTATCAGGTAACATTGAGGGAACGTTTTATGAAGAACATCTTTAATGTGTTACCCCGACAACGTCCAAAACATATCATTAGAATGGTGAAGGCAAAACGTTCCACCTTTGTTAACATATCACATTAAAGGAACGTTTTTTACACTTTCTGTCATCTCAGGCCTCAATAACATCCTCTGAATGTTGCCGTTAAAACGTTATGTCTTAGTTAACCTTAAACCTTATAGGAACATTATTTGAAAAAATAAACATCCTAAAAAGGTTCTTTGAACATCAGATTAAAACGTTTCTTTAAAACCTTATTATACTATTTAGAAAGTAGATGCTTTATTCTTTTTGGCAAAGTATGTAACTACTTATATTATAATGTTTCCATCGATATAAAACTCTCTGAATAAAAGACTGAACCAAGTAGTTCTCTACTTTAATATAAACACATCTTCTATCTGTTATAGTGGTTACATTTGAACATTTGGTTTATTAAAATACAAAGTTCATTAAAGGATGTAGGTCAAATATTCAGATAAGTATTCTAGTTTTTTTTTAAATCCACTACAGTTCAGAGGTAAATGGTGTACTTTTCCTCCACTAAATGTATCTAATACCTTTAGTTACTTCACAGATGTGGATGAATGATGTGAAATATAATCAAGTGTTAAATCAGACTTTAGTTCCACCTGGAGTAAATCCACCAGCTACCCTGCAGAATACAAAGTCATTCAAACTAGCTGCACCTTTACCAGCTTTGAGAACACTTTCATGATCAATCATTATAAAACATATCATATATATTATTCTGAAATGGACCAATCTGCACAACGACTACTTTTACTGTCTTTCACTATATTTTGATGAGAATACTTTTCTACTTTCACTTGAGGAAGATTTTGAATGCAGGACTTTTACTGTAACAGAGTATTCCTACACTTTGGTACTTCTAATTTCACTCAAGTACAAGATCTGAGTACTTCTACTTTTACTCAAGTACAAGACCTGAGTACTTCTAATTTCACTCAAGTACAAGATCTGAGTACTTCTACTTTTACTCAAGTACAAGATCTGAGTACTTCTACTTTTACTCAAGGACAAGACCTGAGTACTTCTACTTTTACTCAAGTGCAAGACCTGAGTTCTTCTACTTTTACTCAAGTACAAGACCTGAGTACTTCTACTTTTACTCAAGTACAAGATCTGAGTACCTCTACTTTTACTCAAGTACAAGGTCTGAGTACCTCTACTTTTACTCAAGTACAAGACCTGAGTACTTCTACTTTTACTCAAGTACAAGATCTGAGTACTTCTACTTTTACTCAAGGACAAGACCTGAGTACTTCTACTTTTACTCAAGTGCAAGACCTGAGTACTTCTACTTTTACTCAAGTACAAGACCTGAGTACTTCTACTTTTACTCAAGTACAAGGTCTGAGTACCTCTACTTTTACTCAAGTACAAGGTCTGAGTACCTCTACTTTTACTCAAGTACAAGACCTGAGTACTTCTACTTTTACTCAAGTACAAGACCTGAGTACTTCTACTTTTACTCAAGTACAAGGTCTGAGTACTTCTACTTTTACTCAAGCACAAGATCTGAGTACTTCTACTTTTACTCAAGTGCAAGGTCTGAGTACTTCTACTTTTACTCAAGTACAAGACCTGAGTACTTCTACTTTTACTCAAGTACAAGGTCTGAGTACTTCTACTTTTACTCAAGTACAAGATCTGAGTACTTCTACTTTTACTCAAGGACAAGACCTGAGTACTTCTACTTTTACTCAAGTGCAAGACCTGAGTTCTTCTACTTTTACTCAAGTACAAGACCTGAGTACTTCTACTTTTACTCAAGTACAAGGTCTGAGTACCTCTACTTTTACTCAAGTACAAGGTCTGAGTACCTCTACTTTTACTCAAGTACAAGACCTGAGTACTTCTACTTTTACTCAAGTACAAGATCTGAGTACTTCTACTTTTACTCAAGGACAAGACCTGAGTACTTCTACTTTTACTCAAGAACAAGATCTGAGTACTTCTACTTTTACTCAAGTACAAGGTCTGAGTACCTCTACTTTTACTCAAGTACAAGGTCTGAGTACTTCTACTTTTACTCAAGGACAAGACCTGAGTACTTCTACTTTTACTCAAGTACAAGGTCTGAGTACCTCTACTTTTACTCAAGTACAAGACCTGAGTACTTCTACTTTTACTCAAGTACAAGACCTGAGTACTTCTACTTTTACTCAAGTACAAGGTCTGAGTACTTCTCCCACCTCTCTATATATGTATTACAGAAGATAGATAGATAAAGATATCTTATCTCACATACTCATGTTTGTCTTTTCTCTGATGCGATGATGACGATAAATTAAAGCATCTCTCGTTTGAAAGTGTTTATAAAGACGGCTCCATCCCTCAGAGCTTCAGAGAGTCTGACCCTCAGGTAGGTGGAGCTGCTGAATAGTGTGTGTGTGTGTGTGTGTGTGTGTGTGTGTGTGTGTGTGTGTGTGTGTGTGTGTGTGTGTGTGTGTGTGTGTGTGTGTGTGTGTGTGTGTGTGTGTGTGTGTGTGTGTGTGTGTGTGTGTGTGTTTCACTGTCTGAGGAAAGTCGTTGCATGTTTCTTCACAGATGTATTGCCTCTATGTCTGCAGCTTCAGCTCTGTGTGTGTGTCTCAAGAATACATTAAAAGGGAGAATAGAAATTAAGTTCACAGTGATGAGTTAGCAGAAGTGGATTCATGCATTTTGTCACAGTGTGTGTCGTTCTGTTTTTAAAGAAGTTGATTTAAAACAACTAGAAACCAGCATACGCTTAATTAAGAATGATGCAGTATTTTTAGGTTGTGTTTGCAGCTTCATGAGCTCATTGTCCTTTTGTAGTAAATACAGTGTTTGTGTGCTTTAATAGGGAACTGCCACACAGCTTGTGAGCGGAGAATATAAATTAGGTTTACAGCAATGAGTTAGAACTAGATAAGTGCATTTTGTCAAAGTGTGCGTTGTGTTTTTAAAGAAGTCGATTTAAAAAAGACAACACTGTTATTTTAGCTGCTTTTGCAATCCCTAATATTCAATCACTTCGTGTGCATGAGCTGTTTGAACACACTGATTAACCATGCTGGGATTGATTATAAATATATGCATTAAATTAATATATTATGTAGTTTTCAGGTAAATATTTGTCAATGTGTCTGTGTTGTACTTTCTCTTTTCCTCTCTCAGTGCAGGATGAGTTCTCCAGGGGGTCTTGAAGGCAACATGACTCAGGTTTGCTGCGTTATTTCTAATTATCTATGTTTCATTGCTGACTTTGTTGTAAAATTCAGAGTTTCTATGTCCTTTTTCAGTGTAAATGTCATAATTGCAATTACAAAAGGTCTGTTTTCTAACGTTTTTTATCCAAGTTGTTTTTGTTTTCTAAACTCTGTCCACATATTTTAGAAAAACTACTTTTTTATAAACCTTAAAAACAATTATCAGTACAGTAAAACTTGCCGACCATACCGTTGACATTGCACATGGTCTGTTGACCTCACAATATAACATTGTAATATTATATATTTAAATGATAACCTAGTCCGGTACTTTTTATCCAAACATTAAGACTGTTCTCCTGATTCACAAATGTGTTAATAGATTAAGGATTGGACAATATTTAGAACTTTATAAGAAAAAATAGCAATTAGTGGACTGTGGTGAATTTCTGTCTTGTCCTCTATCATGATAGAGAAGTTTAAATGACAGCTTGATACAAATAAATCCATTATCGAATATTTTTCTTAATGTATTAATCCTTTATTATCACAGGGATGCCTTCAAGCTAATGCTTATTATTTCAGATTGTTTGTTTTTCACCCAAAACCGATATTTAAAATGTGTGTTTTACCGATGCAATAAAAACATTGTGAGATAAATTATCCAGTATATTTTGGTCCCAATTTCTAGGGTTGTTTTGATAATATTAGGGACTTCTAGGAAATATTGTTATGGTTTAAATAAGTACAGGCTTTTTGTTTGTGTGATAACAAAGGCTCTTCTTTCCGTACTGTCTCATGTTTTTGTGGAAAAGCCCAGTCTTCATTCAAATAAAGAAATAGATGTGTAGGAGAAGCTTACATGAGTGAACGTAACATATTATATTTACTATACCAGATGCTTTTTTCTACATTGTCAAGTGTCAACTCGACCAACCAATAGAGACATAGAGATTGGAGTTAAATTATTGAGCATTAATTGGATTAAAAAGCGTTTTCTTTTGTCATTCCCCTCACAGTTCCTGCTGGTTAGCGAAACGTTCACCACGATGTTCTTTAAGAATCTGATGGTGGTTCTGTTCTGGCTGCTGCTCAGCTACATCAACGGCAGCCTGGTCGCCACCTTCTTCAGACACCGGGTACACATCACACACACACCCACCCACACACACAGAGAGACACACACACACAGAGACACACACACACAGAGACCACACACACACAGAGACACACACACACAGAGACACACACACACACACACACACAGACACACCCACACACACAGAGACACACACACACAGAGACACACACACACACAGAGACACACACACACACAGAGACACACACACACACACACAGACACACACACAGAGACACACACACACACACAGACAGAAACAGACACACACACAGAGACACACACACACACACACACACAGACACACACACAGAGACACACACACACAGAGACACACACACACACAGAGACACACACACACACAGAGACACACACACACACACACAGACAGAAACACACACACACACACAAACACACACAGAAACACACACACACAGAGACACACACACACAGAGACACACACACACACACACACAGAAAACACACACACACACACACAGAGACACACACACAGAGACACACACACACAGAAACACACACACACACAGAGACACACACACACACAGACAGAAACACACACACACACACAAACACACACAGAAACACACACACACAGAGACACACACACACAGAGACACACACACACACAGAGACACACACACACACAGACAGAAACACACACACACACACACACACACACACAGAGACACACACACACACAGACAGAAACACACACACACACACAAACACACACAGAAACACACACACGGACATCTGAATAGCCTATTTGAAGATTAACAACCATTTTAATAGTAATTTCAGTCAACTGTAGTACAAACATTGACTCATTCCAGTTGCCTAAATGCAAAAATGTGCTATTCGATATCATGTAAATGCAAAAGATTTGCAATATTTATATCCTAAGCAGTTTGAAGATGTGACAACAGGCTCTGGGAAAATGCGAAGGGCGTTTTTCACTATTTTCTGACGCTTTAACAGATTATAAAAAATATCTGCAGCCCATTGACACACACACGCAGCCATCTGTCTCAGTAGAATTATGCAGTATATTTAATTTGTGTTTGCTGCTTGATAAGTGCTTGTATTACCTGCACCTTTTTAGTAAATACAGTATTTTTGTGGGTTTAATAAGGAAATGCCTCAAAGTTTGTTATTGTGAAGCAGCTGAGACAAAAACCCACACTCTTTTCTCCTCTCTCCCTCTCCGACTCTCATTACCTCGCTCCACTACACTTCTTAAGTATAATATGCCTGTCTGTTCTTATTATATTATAGCAAGCTGAATATCCATGGGACATTTATAGACAGAAAACTGTTTAATTAGAAAAAGAGACGTGTATTTTGTCTACTATATTTCATAAAATTGACATTGGATTTCTAAAAATGAATATGTGAAAGTGGTGTATTTTTTTTTTTTTTGCGTCAATTTACTTTTTTAAAAGCCTGTATGTGTACACAGTAGCTGATGAACATTATTAGTATTATAATATGTGTGTAAATTAGGTTCCTGTGTAGGACTTTTTTTTTTCCACAGTGGTGTAAAGTCCTCACATTTATTATCATGAACTATGACGACAAATATTCAAAGCTTCATTCAGAAATTGGAAAAAAATAAATTTGCTACAGCCTTACATTTAATGTAAAACCAATGTATTCATATATCTGGAATATTAACTGATAATGATTTGCACTACCTATGGTTGTTTGTTTCATCACAGTTTTGTTAGAAACACAAACTCTCTGAGAATGTGTATTCTGCCTTAAAATGAACACAGCATGCTGATCAACCATTTTTAATAAGAAACTATTAATACTGTATTTCCATGACAGGTGAGGGTTAATCAAGAGTTGATTAAGGAAGCCTGCAAACAGTATTCTACGAGATCCTCTTAAAGGGGACATATTCTGCTCACTTTCAGGTGTATATCAGTATGTAGTGTCTCTACTTTAAAGAGTCCTCTCCTGCTGATGTTCAGGTGTATATCAGTATGTAGTGTCTCTACTTTAAAGAGTCCTCTCCTGCTGATGTTCAGGTGTATATCAGTATGTAGTGTCTCTACTTTAAAGAGTCCTCTCCTGCTGATGTTCAGGTGTATATCAGTATGTAGTGTCTCTACTTTAAAGAGTCCTCTCCTGCTGATGTTCAGGTGTATATCAGTATGTAGTGTCTCTACTTTAAAGAGTCCTCTCCTGCTGATGTTCAGGTGTATATCAGTATGTAGTGTCTCTACTTTAAAGAGTCCTCTCCTGCTGATGTTCAGGTGTATATCAGTATGTAGTGTCTCTACTTTAAAGAGTCCTCTCCTGCTGATGTTCAGGTGTATATCAGTATGTAGTGTCTCTACTTTAAAGAGTCCTCTCCTGCTGATGCTCAGGTGTATATCAGTATGTAGTGTCTCTACTTTAAAGAGTCCTCTCCTGCTGATGTTCAGGTGTATATCAGTATGTAGTGTCTCTACTTTAAAGAGTCCTCTCCTGCTGATGTTCAGGTGTATATCAGTATGTAGTGTCTCTACTTTAAAGAGTCCTCTCCTGCTGATGTTCAGGTGTATATCAGTATGTAGTGTCTCTACTTTAAAGAGTCCTCTCCTGCTGATGTTCAGGTGTATATCAGTATGTAGTGTCTCTACATGTCTCCAAGCTTTAATGTTCAAAAACCTCTTTATTTTTCTCATACTGCCTGTGCTGCAGCCCCTCTTTTCCCCCTCTGTCTGAAACCAGAGCCCATTCTGCTCTGATTGGTTAAGATAACATGGATTTTAGCCTTTGCAGACCACAGAAAAGGGCTAATCCCAACAAGCATAAAAGGGCCCCTTTAAGAAACTAACACCAAGTTCATTTTAATATTGTTTTATTGATAATGAGAAGATAATTTCCTCCACACTCATGCATCCCTATTAAGGTTCCTGACACCAGAGATGGCAAAAGTACACACATCCTTTACTCAAGTAGAAGTACAGATAATCGTGTTTAAAAATACTCTGGTAAAAGTAGAAGTACTGACTAAACTTCTTTACTTAAGTAAAAGTAAAGAGGGCTTTGAAATGTACTAAAGTAAAAAGTACCCATAGCTAGCAGCTGCTTTAAAGAGTACCTGACCTCCCTTTATATTAATAGAACATGTCATTGTTAGCTAATGAATGTTTCCATGCTGAACAACGGCAACATGACAACGTTTCCATTGGTCCCTCTTCTTTAGAGAAGACCAGGAAATGATGGATACACGGATCGTGTTCAAATCAATAGGCACGCAATGACTCTAAAGAATAATGATCACGCATCAAACACACATTCAGACTAAAGGAACCAGCTGTTTGGGAAATGAGAGAAGTAGAAAGTACAGGTATTTGAGTTCAACATGTAAGAAGTAGAAAGTACAGGTATTTGAGTTCAACATGTAAGAAGTAGAAAGTACAGGTATTTGGGTTCAACATGTAAGAAGTAGAAAGTACAGGTATTTGAGTTCAACATGTAAGAAGTAGAAAGTACAGGTATTTGAGTTCAACATGTAAGAAGTAGAAAGTACAGGTATTTGAGTTCAACATGTGAGAAGTAGAAAGTACAGGTATTTGAGTTCAACATGTAAGAAGTAGAAAGTACAGGTATTTGAGTTCAACATGTAAGAAGTAGAAAGTTCAGGTATTTGGGTTCAACATGTAAGAAGTGGAAAGTATAGGTATTTGAGTTCAACATGTAAGAAGTAGAAAGTACAGGTATTTGAGTTCAACATGTGAGAAGTAGAAAGTACAGGTATTTGTGTTCAACATGTAAGAAGTACAAAGTACAGGTATTTGTGTTCAAAATGTAAGAAGTAGAAAGTACAGGTATTTGGGTTCAACATGTAAGAAGTAGAAAGTACAGGTATTTGTGTTCAACATGTAAGAAGTAGAAAGTACAGGTATTTGAGTTCAACATGTAAGAAGTAGAAAGTACAGGTATTTGAGTTCAACATGTGAGAAGTAGAAAGTACAGGTATTTGAGTTCAACATGTAAGAAGTAGAAAGTACAGGTATTTGTGTTCAACATGTAAGAAGTAGAAAGTACAGGTATTTGTGTTCAACATGTAAGAAGTAGAAAGTACAGGTATTTGGGTTCAAAATGTAAGTAAAAGTACTCCACTACTTCCTCTGCCTGACATTAACATGTTAATCCCTGATCCAATTTTTTTCTCATTTGTCTTCCTGCAGACTTTCTATGAAGACCCTCGCTACATCCTCTTCATCCACATGGTGATAAACGACAGCATCCAGCTGACCGTCACCATCACGCTCTTCCTCCTCAGCTACATCCTCTACCGGATCAACGTGTCCCTCTGCTGCTTCTTCATCCTGGTGGCCGTCTTCACCACCAGAAACACGCCCCTTAATCTAGCCAGCATGGCCATCGAGCGCTACATCGCCATCTGTGAGCCTCTACGCCACACACAGATCTGCACCGTGCGGAGAACTTACATCGTCATCGGGATGATTTGGTTTATTTGCGCTGCTCCAGATATCACCGATTTATTTGTGACGCTAGCAACAGAATCCATGAGCTTCTTCCACGAGTCGGTGTCCTGCTTGCGGCAAAACGTGTTCAAAGACCCGATTTTGGCTCAGAAAAGACTAGCGTTCGATGTAATTTACTTCTCCTGTGTGTTCCTGACGCTGGTCTTCACATATTTGAGGATTATGTTTGCAGCACGGGCTTTATCGACGGATAAAATGTCGGCGAAAAGAGCCAGAAACACCATCTTGCTTCACGGGGCTCAGTTGGCGATGTGCATGCTTTCCTACATTTCTCCGAGTGTGGAGATTGTTCTGAACTTGATCTTCCCCGGACGAGGGGTGGAAATCAGATTCGCAAACTACCTGATCGTCTATCTCCTGCCCCGCTTGCTCAGCCCCATCATCTACGGCGTCAGAGACAAGAAGTTCAGGAAGTACTTAAAAATATACTTTCAGTGCAACAGGTGCCGGGTCAACGTGAAGATGATGGTGGCCCCGGCAAACAGAGATGACGAGTAGAAAGTGCATGTATTTGTGTTAAAAATGTAAGCAGTAAAAGTAAAAAGTTGTCAGAAACATAAGTAGTGGAGTAAAGTACTAATACCAGAAAAATGTACTTGAGTACAGTAACAAAGTATTTGTACTCCAGTACTTCCCACCTCTACTTCCTGGTTCCCTCGTCTGGAGGTCAATGGTTTTTTGGCCGTGTTTTTTTGGTTTTTAATCCTGAAATAAAGTCTGTTGTTAACACAAGCTGAAGACATCAAACGTTTTGTTTACAGACATAAAATATGTCAGTAAATACCCCACTGGTGAATTTATACACAGAGGTTGCTAACAAGTGTCTAAATGAGACGACTTAACGTCATCAAGCCCAATATTAGCCCCCTTTAGCTTAGCGGTGGTGACGTGAAGTCATGTGACCGTGCTGTAGTTCCTTTATAGCCCAACCTTAGCCCCCTTTAGCTTAGCGGTGGTGACGTGAAGTCATGTGACCGTGCTGTAGTTCCTTTATAGCCCAACCTTAGCCCCCTTTAGCTTAGCGGTGGTGACGTGAAGTCATGTGACCGTGCTGTAGTTCCTTTATAGCCCAACATTAGCCACCTTTAGCTTAGCGGTGGTGACGTGAAGTCATGTGACCGTGCTGTAGTTCCTTTATAGCCCAACATTAGCCACCTTTAGCTTAGCGGTGGTGACGTGAAGTCATGTGACCGTGCTGTAGTTCCTTTATAGCCTAACATTAGCCACCTTTAGCTTAGCGGTGGTGACGTGAAGTCATGTGACCGTGCTGTAGTTCCTTTATAGCTCAACATTAGCCACCTTTAGCTTAGCGGTGGTGACGTGAAGTCATGTGACCGTGCTGTAGTTCCTTTATAGCCCAACATTAGTCAACTTTAGCTGAGCGGAGGTGACGTGAAATCATGTGACTGAGCTGTAGCTCCTTTTGGTTCAGAAATCATAAAGTGGTGTTAATATGTGGAAATTATCCTGCTGAACAAAACTTGTAAGTATCATAAAGGTTTGTTTGACACAGAGATCATTTTCGGACATTATCCATCCCATTTGCGATGCTACCTTTAGGGTCGGCCTACAAGGAAACGTCACTACAGCACAAACATTGCTGGCAAAAATATTATTTGTGTTTTTTATATGTGTATTTATTACAATTAATAAAATACAGTCCAAACTGAACCAAGTCATTTATTTTGTCATTTCTAAAATATGTATTTTAGACACATGTCATTTACTAAAGCACACAACAAAAAGCAATGTGCTCAGGGCCGCCCCTCCCTACAGGCCGATCATGCAGACTGTGTGGGGCCTGACCTTGTGGAGGGAGCCTCACCTGAGCCTCAACTGAGCCGCACCTATGCGCTTATGCGGCGCAATTAGTGTGGCGCGGCACGGTTTCGCCGCTGCGAGGCTCCACTAGCTATATTTGACATTAACAAATGTAATGCTACAAATGTGCACTTTTTTTTTTTTTGGAGACATATTCATTTTAAAGACGGCAAATTAATGCAAATGTTGATTGAGGGGGAACATCCTTGCTACCTTTAATAATCTAAAGTTCACAATGCTCGTCAAACACACACGCACACACACACACACCTGGTGCTTCCTGAAGGTGTGTATCAGGGTGCCGTTGATGTAGTTGATGGAGATGCAGAGAACCGTCACGATCACATTCTTGTAAACGGCCGCAACGATGCTCCGACACACACACATACATACACACACACACATACATACATACACACACATACACACACACACACACACACACACACACACACACACACACACATTATAAAGGAGCTGACAGGCTGCTGGAGGAGCCAGAGACTCAGCAGGTGAGAGAGGGTCTCTGTTGCTTTATCTTTGAATATATTATATAATATACATTATTATTATGAATGCTTTATTTTCTTTAAGTTGCAGCTGACATGTGTTTCCTCTGTTCAAAAGTATGAAATGGTATTATTTTGCATTTTTGTATCCAACTTTCTAACTGTATTTATATTATGGATTTAAATGTATAAGTTAATACTAGGTGAACAAATAGTGAAATTAAATCGCATTTTAATCAATATTCTGAACTCATGCATTTATCATTTTCATTACAGACTACCGAGTGAACATGTATGAACTGCTGAATGATGTAAATTGGTATAAAATGTATGAATATAATGCTTTTTTATAATACTATACAAATACAGTCCGACAAAACCACTAAGTTAAGGTGCCTTAAATGTTTAGGTGTTATATTTAGATTATAATTTCCTCTTCAAAAGGCCTTTAAAAGCCTCGAGAAGCTTCAACAAATGCAGAAAAACATTTCCTGATTGTGTTTTGTTTGTTTTAATATTTTATATCAGAAAGTAAAACAATAGAACAAATGATTTAATGTCACTTTAAAGTATCGTGAATGTGTGTTTTGTATTGTCTTCATGCAGATGTTAACAGGCCATGAACTCCTGACGCTCTGTGGCTGCAAGTGTGTGAGCAGGTTAGTATTATAGCTATTATTATAAAAAGGTGAATATATCTGTGCATTTAGATTTGAATGTCTGTATTTGTTCACATTTGATGCATTTCAGTTGCAGTTGTACTTATATATGTTTAGTAATTGCAAGGCAGTAAAAAGCGTATATTTTAAATACATGCTCGTCTATATAATATACAGCTGTGTAATGTATTCTGTCTATTTCATGCATTATATTATGTTATAATTCCTCTACATTCCTTAAGATGCTTGTGTGTGCGAGTGAAAAGCTTTTATTTAATATATGCATGTTCTTGTTTAAAATAAATATGGTAACACTTTAGATTAAGGTGCACATATTCACCATCAACTAGTTGTTCATTAACATAGAGTCAAACCGCTAGCTTATTGGTTATGAACAAGACTTCACTTTAAAATAGGGAACATATTCTAAGTTACAATTAACACTTATAGTTTCATGTCTTGCTACACAAGAATAGACCATATTTGTTAGGTGTTATTAAGAGAGAATGCCTTATTAGGCCCATATTGAGCATATTAAGACCCAAACTCAAACACAACAACGTCCTTACTTACAATAAACAAGCACCCATTAGAGGGTTATCAAGGACAAAAACTCTCAACTAATGGCCTAGGAGAATATGGGCATGTAGAATAAGGCATTAAGTGCTTTATACTGACTGATAAAGAGCCAATATACTGCTAATATTCATGTTAATTAACAACTAGTTGATGGTGAATTTGTGTACCTTAAAATAAAGTGTTACCATAAATATATAATATGAGCAAATGTGTGTTTTACAATTGTTTGCTATTTAATATCTTACTCATCATTATATTAAGCTTACATGCAGGGCTGCAGAATAACACAATACATCAAATTATTATTTATTATTTTGACTATATTTGTACTATTTGAGGGAATGATAATTAAACATTATTCTCATTTAAGTTAAAAAATATAATGAAAGAATCACGGTGTGTTTACTAAGATGATCTGAACCAATTAAGGATGTTTTATCAAGTCTGTAGAATGATATTGATTTGTTAACTTCAGTCAGATATGTTGTACATATTTTACCTTTAATGAATATTGTTCTTATGTCCTAATGCACTCGTCTATTTTGCCATTTCAAATTTAGAAAATGGACTAATTGTTCAGCAGTAGTGTCCATAATTAGAATACATATATTACTATACTACTATCATTTAAATAAAAGGACCGAGCCTTCTCAGCGGTAGCCCCAGGCTCTGGATCGACCTTGTATCTTTTCTTATGTGTGCCTTGTATCTATTCTTGTAATTATAATGTTATGTTCATTGTGAAGCACTTTGGCAAACCCTCTGTTTTTAAAATGGAAAATATTGGATTGGATAATGTTATGGTAGTGTGTTTAACAGAAGAACAGATAACTATATATATTAAAATGACCTCAGTGTTATTTTTAAATCTGCAGCAAAAAGGAGATTTTACAAAGTCCATAGAATTTATTTCAGATTTGTTTTACAGATCTTTCCCTAATCTAATACTGCACTGACTCATCTGGCCTTTGCACTCGTCCTTATAGCCATTTTGAATTACATTTTGATGAATGGTGCAGCCCTTACATGTGTGTAAAACCTCTCTGCTGCTCCACAATACTTCAGTCAGATATTTGTATATATTTTAGCTTTAATACATATTGTTCTAACTGCGATTTGGACGTTGCACTTGTCTATTTTGCATATACGAAAGAATATTGATCAACTGTCCAGCCCTACTGTCAATAATTATACAGTCATAGTGTCGTGTGTGACATAAAAGGAGTTCATTATGATTGAAACATATATTAAAATGATCAGTATATCGCACAAAAAAGGGGATTTTATTAAGTCTGTAGAATTTATTCCATATATTTTTTTACACATCTTTAATATTGCGTTGACTTATCTGGATAATGCACTAGTCCTTATAGTAATGTTTGAATTAAATGTTGATTTATTGTGAAGCCCTTGTAGAAGAATATATTAAATTAATCATAGTGTTAATATTTTGCAGAGGATCTGTACTGAACAAGAGATTTCTGTATAGATATAGATTTGCCTGTCCCACTGTTTTGGCCAAACTTGACCCACTCTACCATGCTGCACTGCGTTACATATCAAATGCACCCGATAGGACTCATCATTGCAAACTGTATAGTAACTGGATGGTCCTCACTTACTATGCGTAGGATGCAGCATTGGTTTTTATTCATGTATAAAGCCATTTTAGGTAAGCTTCCACTGTACATATGTGCCAGATTTGCTCCAGTTTGTGACTCTTACAACCTCAGATCCAGTGCCTGGATACGGGTCCAGGTTCCTGCCGTGCGGACTGAGGCTGGAAAAGGAGTCTTTTTTATTATGGTCCTTGGTCTTGGAATGACCTTCAATCACGCCTCAAACTGACAGCACTTGTCCCTATAGCCTGTTTTAAATTGAAGTTTTTTGTCTTTTGTTTTCTTAGTTATGTTCTCTGTATTTTATATGTTTGTGTTATGTGTTATGTGTAACGTTGCTGCCTTCTTGGCCAGGTCAGCATTGAAAATGAGATTGTATCTCAATGCTTTTATCTGGTTAAATAAAAAAAAATGTAGAATTTATTCCAGATATTTTCACATATAATCAAATATTGCACTGACTTAACTTGTCCTTAAAGCACTTTTTAAATTTGATTAACTGTACAGCACTAGTATAAATGCATGCCTTAAAACAAGATATCAAGTGTGTGTGTGAGTGTGTGTGACCCCTCTCTCTGTGCTCCAGCAGGTTTATGAGCAGCTGCTGGAGATGCTGAACTCCTCTGATCCTCTTCAGCTGCTTCCAGGCAGTAATAACAGCTCCTTGCTGACAGGGGGCGCTGCTGTGAATCTGAACAAAGATGACTTCTCCAGCGCGCTCACCAAGAACATCGTGGCCATGCTGGTGTGGCTCGTGCTCAGCGTCATCAACGGCAGCATGGTGCACACCTTCCTCAAACACAGGTAACTGTTTATTCAAGATTCAAGGCTTGTTTGTGATGTGTACAGATCTACAGTGTAGTTATGACAATGGAGATCTTAGGTCACAGGCTCCTCCAACAGCGCAACACAATAAAACAGATAAAACAGTGCAAGTAAATAAAATAAAATATAATAGAAATTGTGCAGAATAGTCTATAGGCCTATATACAGTAATTGGAATATTGATATTTAAAAGTTGCAAACAGATGAATGTTATGGATGTTCTTTCAAAAGTTCAGGTGTTTAACAGTCTTATGGCCTGTGGGATAAAACTATTATTTCTAGTCTTTTAATTTCTCTTATGTACATTTCCTTGTCTTTTTATGCTGCTGCAACACAAACATTTCCCAAATTGGGATCAATAAAGTACTTCTTATCTTATCGACAATGTAATAATGGTATTGTTTTAAATCTATATATGTTAATTTACCTTTATAATGCTGCTACTTGTTCTGATACATTGGATGTTTACTTATTTGATTTTAATTTTCTTAATGTCAGCTTCTTTCATTCAGATGTTTTTCCATTTGATTTCCCTTTTATCTGAACTGGCCTCTTGCTATAACGATGTTCATGTTCCCGCTGTGGAAATAAATACGTTTTTTAACTCAGAATTTTAGCAGCTCTCCTGTAGTCTAAGTCTCTAACCTCTTGTTTTTCTCTGACTGCAGACTCTTCTATGAGAACCCACGCTACATCATGTTTATCTGCATGGTGATAAACGACGCTCTGCAGCTCAGCCTCGTTACAGCGCTGTACGTCGTCAGTTACATCTTCAGGAAGATCCACGCCTCCGTCTGCTGCTTCCTGGTGAGCCGTGCATCTTTAAGAGGCCCTATTTTACAATATATGTATAGAAGTTTATTTTTAAACACGAGTATCTGTACTAAAGGATGTGTTTACTTTTGCCATCTCCGTCATTATGTGTAAGTGATTCTGGGTTGAAAAGTATTGTTATTTTAATTAAAGACTACCTCCCCCCCTTTGTCCCCTCAGATAATGACGGCGGTCCTCACCACCCGCTCCACGCCTCTCATCCTGGCCGGCATGGCGTTGGAGCGTTACCTCTCCATCTGCTTCCCTTTGCACTACATCCACATGTGCTCCGTCCCACGCACCTTCCTCCTCATCTTCATCATCCTCATCCTCACCGCCACGCCCCCACTCACAGACCTGCTCATCACCGTCGTCCACCAGCCTCTTTCCTTCTTCAACACCCCCATCTTCTGCGACCACCCGCTGCTCTTCCGCCACCCGTCCATCTACTATAAGAACTGTGTGTTTGACGGGGTTTATTTGTCCTTCGTGGCTCTGACTCTTCTCTACACCTACTGTAAGATAATGCTCGCGGCCCAGGCTGCTTCTACTGGTCTGGCCTCGGTGAAGAGAGCGAGAAACACTGTGCTGCTCCATGGACTGCAGGTGGGTTTATGTAGAAAGATAAGAGAAGTACTTTATTGATCCCATTGCAGGTGGATGTACTGGAGATAACTCTGACACTTTTCTTAGGAAGGGCAAGAAGGGATACTAGTTTTACCAGGATACATGTTCTATCAGGGTTAGGGTTAGCTTCACAAAAGATCTTCTTTCCACTTTCTCTGACTTTAACTTATATTGCTGCTCCACAGGTGAAGAGCAAGAGGATACATGTTCTATCAGGGTTAGGGTTAGTTTAGGGTTAGCACAATTGAGGCAATGATCTTCCTTCCACTTCCATTTTTCTCTTAGAACTAACCCTAACCCAACCCACCTTGAAAACCAAAAGAGCCAAAATTGCCAGGAAAATCTTTTAAGATCTGTTGAAAAAAACATTATTTCATTTTTGAGACAAAAAATAAGGTTTTTCCAGGTGAAGAAAAAAGAGTTTAACTTATATTTTCACAACCGCTTCCCTTTAAGATTTAACAGGTAAATGTACGGAAGACGGCCACATGTGAAATTATTCATAGATCTGACCAACAGTTATTTTATTTATTTATAATCTGTTATTATTGTCAGTATTTAGAGATTTTGAAATCCACAGAAATCTGACTTTTTCTCAGATTTTTTGAACCCATCCCAAAACTGTTTCTCCAATGTGGCCCTAATCCTCTTCCTTGTCATTTGAATGTTAAAGTTGAAAAACACAAATAGTGGCCTCTCAATTAAACTGTTTACGATTAAAGATGGGGACTAGTAGCTTCATAATCTATACTTTAAATTATTTATATAATACCCTAGAAGACCACATTGTGTGTTGTAAATGTTGTAAATAACTAAATATACTTTTCTATTTCTCTGATTTTCTTCCAGCTGCTGCTGTGCATGCTGGCCTTTGTAGTTCCTTCCCTTCAGGCGGCTCTCATCTCTATTTTCCCTCGCTTCAGTCTGGAGATCCGCTACATCTTCTTCCTGGTCGTCTACATCATCCCCCGTTTCCTGAGCCCCGTGATCTACGGTTTTAGGGACGAGCAATTCAGGAAGTACTGGACCCGGTACCTGTCCTGTCGGGGGAAAACTGTGTCAAGGGTCAGACCGGTGCTGCAGAAAGGGAACATGTAGGGGAAGTAGAGCGGCATAGTGATGGGAATTACGGCTCTTTGAAGGAAGCCGGATCTTATGGCTCCGTTGCTTTCAGAGAGCCGTTTAATTTGTTAAGGGGCGGGGTTAATAGGTTCATCTGCGAAATAATCACCTGGATAATCAAAGTCAAGTCAAAGTCAACTTTATTGTCAATCTTCCAGAGAGATCGAAATACTCACTCAGTTTCTCACAATCCCGAATATAAAACAAATGTATATAAAAAGATGTGTGCAAATATGTATATACAAAATTGTCCATAGCAGCGTAAAAAGAGTCTGGTGCTGGATTTGAGTGTTTTAGGCTCTCACCAAGTACGACTCGGTTACCTTCGTTCGTACCAAAGAGTCGTTCAAAAGAATCGGATCGTTCGCCAACATCACTAGCGGAGAGATGACGTATTGTTGTAGTCCGACCTGGAAGTTAGAATCTCCTCCGGGATTTTCACCATTGGATTTTGGACTATTGCAGAAAATAACATCTGTGGTTTATCATACTTACATGTTGTTCAGCAGGATCAGCTCTACATTATAATGTGGAAGAAATAAAAGGAAATGTTATTCAAGTTCTGTGCAAGCCTGGTTTGTACATCAGCAGAAATAAAGCACATCATGGAAGTGGAAGAAGTTCTCTGTTTAATTCAATGTTAAGTGCAATACAAATATTCTGTTGCCAAAACCTTAACAGCCCAACCCCAGACAGACAGACACACACACACACACACACACACACACACACACACACACACACACACACACTTTAAATCAAATGTAAATATAATCCTGACTGCATCTATACATTTTACAAAGTCAGCAAATGAATGCACATTTTGATTAAGGGGGAACATCCTCGCTACCTTTAATGATCAAAAGTTCACAATGCTCGTCACACACACTCACACACACACACACACACGCACACACACACACACATTATAAAGGAGCTGACTGGCAGCTGGAGGATTCAGAGAGTCAGCAGGTGGGAGTCTGTCGCTGAAGTAAGAAGTGTGAAACGATTTAATGTTGCAACGTTTTAAAAACGTACCGTATTTATATTGTGGATAGTTTAAATGTAAGGTATGACTCTAGGTGCACAAATAGTGAGATTAATTCATTTTAAAATGTCAAAGTTAACTTTCCTTAGATGTTTACATTTTGTTATATTTGTATTATAATAATACCGTTGTCTGACTTCTTCTTCAAAAGGCCTTTAAAAGCCTCGAGAAGCTTCAACAAAAGGCGGGAAAACACATCTAGATGTTCTGAGTGTGTTTTGTTTGTTTTCATATTTTATATCAGAGCGTAAAACAATAAATAATAAATAGAATGTTATTTTTAATCCCACAAAACCACTCTGTTAACATTCATTAGTTTACTTGTTGTTATATTTGTATTATTGTTATATAATGAACTGCTGCTCTTCCTGTTCCTCGTACAGCAGGCATGTTTAGAGCTCAGCTAAGGAGTTTGATTCACTAAAGAACAACGAAGGCTCTTATTCTCATTTCATCTGTGTTTTGTGTCTCCAGCTCTGAGGACAATATGAACTCCAGCAGACGTTTCGACAGCTATAGCGAAGCTTTCACAAAGAACTTCATCACCTTTGTCCTGGTATTCACCATCATCTGCATCAATGGAGCTTTTGTCTACACATACTTCAAGAGCAAGGACTTCCAGCGAGACCCCAGGTGATAAACAGATATGTGAACATAGTCACAGTAAAACAGATTGTACTTGATATTCAGATCTGCTTAAATGTGGAGGTAAAGGTTGGAATCAGCTGTTGTATTAATGCTTTGCTCTAAAACAAGTATATTCAAATAGATTGAAACTTTGTTTAGGTGACAGCAAATGTCCTTTTAACATATGGAAAGCTTGTCGCCCTAAAACAAGAAATACTAAATGATTGAAACGTGGGCTGCACAATTTGGAAAAAATAAGTATCTAAGATGAGTTGACTGATATTTCAACTGCGACATTATTCACAGTAATTGGAGAGATTGATCATTTTTGCAGGATATGAATGGCTCTGATATCTCTGCAGCTCCAAGGTTCTTCGTTAAACTTTGTATTTGTATGTTGCTTGTAAAGCACTTTGAGCACCAGGAAAAGCGATATGTAAATAACATGTATTATTATTATTACTATTTAAAAACATATTTAGCCTTTTACAAATATTTTTTATTTAGCCTTTATTTATACAGGTGTAAAATCTCATTGAAACTCGTATTGCACTTGTTCATATAGTGCATCATATATATATTAATTGTGCAGCCCTTATCAAATGTTGTTTTAGTCACGGTGATCCATGAGAGGAGATCATTCAGATTTGGATTGGATTGTAAATGTATTATCTCTTGGATTTCCACACGGCATCTATTGCACGTCTGTCCGTCCTGGGAGAGGGATCCCTCCTCTGTTGCTCTCCCTGAGGTTTCTCCCATGTTCCCTTTAAACTGTGGGTTTTCTCCGGAAGTTTTTCCTTGTACGATGTGAGGGTCTAAGGACAGAGGGTGTCATATTGTCATACTGATATTCTGTACAGACTGTGAAGACCACTGAGACAAATGTAACATTTGTGATATTGGGCTATATAAATAAACATTGATTGATTGATTGAGTTTCCAGAAAAGCGTTTTTTGGGTCCTTTGCAGTCTCAGCAGGGGTTCAAATGAAGAGGTTTAAACTGTGAATTATCAGTACATGGTATGTTCAGCTAATATTCTAACGGTACATCCACACGGGAGCATTGCTTGCTTCAACGGAGACGCTTCCCATTCACTTTGAATGGGGTGACGTCACGCTTTGCTTTGCCTCCTTTGCTCGCTTCGAAAGTTGAGAAAAGTTCAACTTTTCAAGCTTCGACGGAAGCGTCAGCCAATCAAATCATATGCCAGTACAAACACTAGCCAATCAAACCGCGTGCTTGTGTGTCCGGGGCGGGAGATTAATGTTAAACTAATCTCAATCCAATTGAAGTGGTTGTTGGTCGCGCTTCAACGCGACGCTGCAGTGTGGACGTACCGTAACGCACACGGCAGCGTGCGTTGAAGCTTGCCGGCTCGACCAACAACCAATCACATGAATCTCCCACCCCGGGCACAAAAGCACACGGTTTGATTGGCTAGAGCTTGTACTGGTGTATGATTTGATTGGCTGACGCTTTCGTCGAAGCTTGAAAAGTTGAACTTTTCTCAACTTTTGAAGCGAGCAACGGAGGCAAAGCGAAGCCACGGAACAACAATGCAGTTCCGCAAAGCGTGGGAAGCTTCAACGCACGCTGCCGTGTGGACGGGCCGTAACATTGCTAACGTTAGACTAAAGTATTTATATTGTGAAATCTCTAAAGCTTTACTAAATCAACACATTGCATGTTGATTACAATTGATCGGAGGCATTATAGACACTGAGACATGAAGCTGCTCCGGTTTAAATCTGCACTAATTTAGATTTCTAGCTTTGCCTTCTCTTACCAGTGACTGCTGACTTATTTTACTGTCACTCTTTAACTGTGACTCTCTGCGCTCTACAGTGTCAGTAAAGCATTGCACATAATGTTGCTCCATGTAAAATACAAACCTGTTGTATAAAATAACACCTAATTGTACAGAGGACTTTCTTAGGACTAGACTGTAGTTCAAAGCTGTTGTTTTACTTCTTTTTTGCTTGATTGTTCATCCTGCTTTAACCTGCTATTAAGGTTGGGCACCCCTGCCTTAGACCTTACTAATGTGTTAGTATTTGTATTTGATTGTATAGACTTTGAGGAATTGGGTGGTACATAGGAGTGTTTCAAATGTCCCAATAACTCCAGTAGTGTGCTAGAAGTACAAAAGTCAAATCTGATGGAAAAAACAAAAAGATATTGTTTCCGAAACATCGCTATATTCATGTTTTTATTATTATGACCGAATCAGTGATTTTAACCACACTGTAAAATATTACCATGATTTCACAATATTTAGTTGTAATATTTTACAATAAATTACTGTTTTACCACTTTACAGTCTTTACCTGTAATGTTCACAATATAATACTGTAATTTTGAATTTCACAGTGAAATCAATACAGGCACAGTTAATTACTGTGAATGTACAGGATCAATGATTACCAGGATTTCACAACATGTTACTGTATTATTTCACAGTAAAATACTGTATTCAGACCATCCTCTGTGATAACACAACAAATTAAGTGATTTTCTTGCTTTCATCGCTCTTAAATACTAATTTCTTTCTTTGGTGCAGGTTTTACTTAAATTGAAAGGGGCACTGCTGCATGTGCCTTAAAATAAACGATGCAACATATAAATCTATGTAAAATTGAAATGGTTGTCTTGGCTTAGTGTTTTCAGGTGCTTCCTGGGCATTAACCCCAAGACGGGCTCGAAAGCCAAAAAGAGGCATGGCAATTTAAACCCTCATGTCAGCACATTCTTCAGATCAATTGTTGACTTCGAGTGGATGTCTGTAGACATGTGTTACGTGCTCCCCTCCTTGTTTTCTTTCTGTTTCCCTGCTGCAGGTGCACCTGGTCTGCCCCTGGCTCCGCCTCTGCCCAGGTGCACCTGGTCTGCCCCTGGCTCCGCCTCTGCCCAGGTGCACCTGGTCTGCACCTGGTCTGCCCCTGGCTCCGCCTCTGCCCAGGTGTTCCAAATTCCACTCAGCCGTGTATATATAAAGAGAAGCTGGAGGAGAAGGATGTCTCGCCTGTCCTAACGCTGGGAGACACTCTCCTTAGAATACCTCTTTGCCATTTTGAGCTGTAGGCCATATTTTTGCAGGTGTCTTTATGTTTAGCCTGGAGGACCTGGTAGTCCAGTTTTCGTGGGTTTATTTTGTTTCCCATAGGGTTTATAATTGATTTCTGGTTAGGGGGGGGAGTTCTGGGTCCTTCGGCCCGTGGTGTGGCTGGCCCGGGTTCCCTCCTTCTGTTTGTTCCTTTTGGCCAGTCCTCCAGACCTCTTTTTGTTTCCCGTTTTGCTTGTGTGAGCAAACGGCTGATTATCAATAAATGCTCGTTACCAAGTACCGGTTATTACGTGTATTCTTTCATGTTGTGGGTCTCAGCACCAGCCACTACGCGGAGTAGAGGTTGGGACCATAACAACATGTCCAAGACACTGTGAAATGTACTTTGCACTTCAATGGAGTAATAAAAAGTTAAAATGGGCATTTTATTTGTTGATTGAGCTGATTGAATTGTGTAGTTATGGTAAAATCCCAGTGAACTAGTCAGATTTACAATATATTATCGTATTATTTACATTTTTATATTTACAGTAAATTACTTGCTACTGTGTTGCATTACTTCTACAGTAATAGAGGTAATTACTGTAATTTATGTACAGCAAGGTACCATAATATCACAGCTCTGTACTGCTATATCACAGTAATTCCATGGGCATGGCAACTGTAAAGTCACAGTATTTAGTTGTACTTTTATTCTAATTTACTGTAAAATATCTACAGTAATTTACTGTGAAATATTCACAGTCAATTACTGTGAA